TAACACTGAACTGTGCTATATATTGTCAATATGTAAAATAAAATTCAAAATAACCAATAATTTGCTTGGAAACAGAAAAAAAGCATTTAGTTGAAGAGAGAGTCTCAAGTACAGTGAGTTCTGCTATAATAGCGTGTTTTTGATATAATTTGCTCCTACTTGATTTATGAATTAGGAACAATATTTGTATAACGCTTGTTTTGCTATAACGCGATTTTGCTTACTATTTCTCCAATTTTGTGGTACAGTGGGGTATCCTATAATGAATCTAATTGGTTCTAGAACCTTGTTCGTTATAGCATTCGTTCGTTATAGGATTAATCCGTTCCAGGCCCCCAAATACAACCACTTAACACTGAAAAATATAATATAAAATTGTAAAAATTGTAAAAAAGTGCATAAATATGCATCTAAACACCTGAAATAAAGAATATCATTAATATTTGTAATAAAAAACAATAAGAAAAAAAAAATTTCAATAATGTTCGTTGTAGGAGTTTCGTTCGTTATAGCATTCTCAATTTTATAGGTAAAACCGTTCGTTATAGGAATATTCGTAGTAGGATCCGTTCGTTATAGCATACCCCACTGTATTAACTGTGAATATAGTAAAGAAGAATATCAACAAGAAGCGTTCTGGTGATAGAATTCCCGGTGATGATCGTAAAAGAAAGGATATAACACTTGAAGAGAACCTCGATTTTATCAACCTCAAAATCACCCTTCTCCCCCATCAAGTTACATTCATATTTTTTCAAGGTAAAATGTTACATTTACTGTATGATTTCATTATTAGATATGAATGTAACATTTATTTAGACTGTGCTATCCTTTGTGTTAGGCTAACTACTAAATTTTTTCGATTTCGAGTAATCTGCACCTAACCCTATTTTTGCTCCAAAAGCCCTGTTATTTCTGTGCAGCGATTTTCTATAACACGATATTTTACAAGAACACAATTATACAGCGTTATAGCAGAACTACCACTGTAAGATATTACCACCACTGAAAACAGAGAGAGACTAACGCCTGTCTGGTGTGTTAACAGGCTGGATGGCACGCCAGAAACTAGTTTCTTTACCTTCAATTATGTTCAATAATTGTTAAAATGACTAAAAAAGTTAATATTAAGCTTTTAAAATTATTGAATAGTATAAACTTCTTGATATTTACTAAAATAGTAAGGAATTTAAGCCCTAAAACCAATTACTGTATTGGCGGACTAATACTACAGCTGGTGGACCGCCAAATGCAAGCAAAAACATGTTGAAGTCGGCTCGTAAAAAACTCGTTAATCGAGGT